AATTGTATTGGAAAAATGTCATGCTAAAAGAAATGAAGTAATAATATTAAATCTTTATACATCTTTATTTTATTTTAAAAAAGAAACAGCCATTTTGTGTTTTAATTGCATTATATTAATGCCTTTTAAAGCAATATCAGATCTTAATAATTGGAAATGTAGAAAGAGCAGGCATGCTGCCTAGCCTAGAGCCGACTTTGGTTCATAAACGTGCAGTGGATGGATTTTATGTTTGAATTCACTGAGTAGCTGAGTCTGTCTTGGTTGGCTTCCTGTTGCTGGAATAAAGACCATGACAAAAAGCAAGTTGGAGAGGAAAGGGTTGACTTGGCTTACATGCCCTGTACATCACCTTTTATTACTGAAGAAGCTGAAAGCAGGATTTTAAAGAAGGTAGGAACTTGGAGGCCAGAACTAAAACAAAATGATGGAGAACATAACTTACTGGCTTGTTCCTCATCAATTTATCAGCTTGTTTTTCGATATAACTCCAGGCTACCTGGCCAATGTTGGTACCTCCCACAGTAGTATGGACCCTCCTACATCAAAAATTAATCAAGAAAATGCTCCACAAACATGTCACAGCCCAATCTGTTGGATTAGCCATATTTTCTCATTAGGGTTCCCTCTTCATGTGACACCCTGTGTCAAGTGAACAAAAACAAAGCAATACAATACAAAACAAAACAAAAACTGGGCATCATAATTGACTTTGTGTCAACTTTAATCCATTTATTATTAAACAGCAACACTTCCCATTTTGTTTGTCTCCCAAATCATGTTAACATAAAAATATTGAACAAAGTGTAGCTTTAAGATTCTGAGTCTTTAAAAAAAATTCAAACACTTTAAAATTTCAGTCTCTTAAATACTCAAAGTATCTCAGCTGTGGATATTTTTAATAAAAAATAAGTTACATATTTGCTTATCACAGAATGAAGAACCAGGAGAGAGCTACAAATAGGTCAAAGCAAACCTAAAATTCAATGACATAAATAGCTCTGTGTCTAGTGTCTTACTAATAATCCTCTCAGCTCCAAAGCGCTCAGGCAATCCCATATCTCTGGCTCTGCCATACACAGTACAATCAGCTTATCCTATGAGCTCACAGTATAACTCCTTTACACACCTGCGGTTGTCCAAAATTTGATGATTAGTCTATGGTACTGGCATCTGCAATGCCCTTGTGTCTACAAAGCTACTGGTTGTACTGGCCTCTCCTGGGCTCTCTTTAGGGCCTTCATCCCTGACATATGGTGCCAAGCTCAGCTTCTCTCCATGACTCCTTTAATTCTGACAATGTGACTATAACTTCACTAAATGGCCTCTCCTGGCCACCAATGTTGCCAAACCTCTCCAGCTCTCCATGACCTCTTCAGTCCTACAGTTCTCCAGACACCAAAATGAGTACCATGATGGAGATCATTACACACTACCAAATTCATCTGCCAGATTGAGGTGCAGGTTTGGCCTGCTGCTTTTGTGTGCTGACCCTGAAGAAACACTTCCCAGAGGATTACACCTCAGTAATGCTGGTCTCTTATTAATTGAAGCTGGTTTCTCAGCCCTAGCTAACTAGTGTCAATTGTTCCAGTAAGGTTTCACTTTAGTGTGACTAATAATTTCAGTGGATTCTTCATCCCCAGATGACTGGATTCTGCCATTCTAGAACCATGGATCTCTATCTCATGTAGTCTTTATTCCTCATCAATTTACATAGAGTGCATTAGGGAATAGTTATTTTAAAACTAAAATATATCTTGTCTGATTTCTTACCTACCCCAGCATATACACGTGCAGTTTATAAACACAGATTCATTAACAGGAAAATGATAATCATAATAAATTCTTCTCCTTGAGAACAAAAGCAATGAGAAAGCCCTTTAGTCTCTGGATCATACAATGATGGCATCCTACAGAGCTGGAACCCCAAAGATTCCCTGAGACCTGACAGTGAGGAATTTCCAGTTTGATCCTTCAGTTCTTGGAAGGATTTCTGTCCTCTGAGATTGGAACTTTCCAGATCCCAGGAAAGCTCCTTAAATAAGAAGGTAAACAACTCAAAACAACTTCAGGAAGTTCCTGAAACAAACCGGATTCACTAGTACACTCTCTTCCAAGAGCAAACAACAGAGACCGCAGAGAGTAACTCTGAGAGAAGCCAGTCTGAGAGAAGTCATGCTGCAAAGAAGCAGCCATCAGCATCCCTCACTGCCTGGCAGAAACAGAGACTAGTTTGGTCTCCTGGAAACGGCACAGGCAAAATGAGATTTTTGGAAAGGAAACTCTCTAACCTGTTGAGCTCCCTGCAGGTTATGCAGTGTTCTTCAGACTCCCAGAAAAGAAGGACAGCAGACCACTTTACCTGGAAGCGCCCTCAGCCCTCTTACAACTTAGTCGCCATGTGGGGGTGCTCTAACAGTTAGTGCACTTGAGTATGAGCCACCCATATGACTTGAAATTTTTACATGCTGTATCGAAGGGAAAGTGTCCCAGGTCAGAGCAAATGGAACAATTTATTCCATTTCAATATACACCAGATAGTATACAATCAATAGCCAATAACTCATAAGCTGTTTGCATGTTCTGACATCTACTCCGCCTTTCTCATAGGCATGCATCTCAGCGTGTATTAGCCTCTTTGAAGTGCTCAAAAGGCATGCATGGCTACATGTTGACTAAAACTGGTATGGTCTGTTCTAAACTCATTCTTCTCAGTAAATATAAACCAGTGGTCTAGTCAGTGTCTTGAGTTCCTAGTCATTATTAGACTCTCTGACTGTAATGTAACTTGGAGCATAGATAATGTGGAAGTTCTTAGCCTTGTTGCAAACTCCAGTCACCAGTAATCTCAGTGGTCCCCAGAGGGTAGGGCAGTCATGCTGGTCTTCTCAGCATGACTAGATGAGAGTCATACCTAGCACTCATCATCTGTACATGGACAGCCTTATGGAACTTTTTTTTTTTTGAGATTCCTCTGATATAATAGTTAACCTTCATTTTGCTTATTCAAGGTCATTAATTTTGGAAGTGTAAAGCATGCTGCACATACCACGCAATGCCTGTGAAAAAGCAGACTGGCATTGCCATTAAACAGCCCCCGTTCTCTGCTGCGATCTGTCTCTGAGAGGGTTATGGAATGGCTCAGCTGTCTTTTTGACCATTGCAGCTTGTCGTAAAAGTACAAGACAGATGTGTAGTTGTCTCCTGGCACTGACCTAAAATGTTTCCCACAGGTACTTAGCACAAGTTCCTCAGCAGCATTACCATGAAAGGGAAAGCTTGCCTCTTTCCACCAGCCTCCTGCTCTGTGTTTTGAATTCTTTATGCCCCTGATCCTACAGAGTCTTCCACCTGCTCAAACCAAACGAAGTGCTCAGCATTGTCTGGATCCCCCCGCGGGACCCTGAGCTCACATGCTGACAGCTTGCTCATCTGCTGTTGATGCTGCGTCTCCATGGCTGTACTTCCATGAAGATATCCAAACAAATACAGTAACAAAACAGTTCTAATAGGAACAAGAGCCTGCTAGCAATCTTGCCTCACAGCCCATTGCTTCCACAATCAGCAAACTGGAGCTTGCTAAAAGTGATTAGGGCTAATGGTTTGTTAAAAGGTAGTCTGATTATAGAGCCGCTCTCAGATAATGCAAGCCACGTCTACTTCCTGGTAAGTTGCTGGAAGAAATCTTGCAGAGATTTTAGAGAAAAAAAAAAGTAATATATGTAACAGGTATAATTATCCAACAGTAACAACAAATAAACCTGACACTCTGGCTGTGAACATTTCCCACAGTTCTTCTTCAGACAGACTGCATGCCAGCAAAGGTGAGACAGTTTTCTGAGCATTGGAAAGACATTTGGTACAGACAGAAGCCGGGCTCACAGCCGGGATCATCAGAAACCTGGAGACCCGAGGCTATTAAGGAGTCTACTTTCAACATACCATTCATTGTTAATGACAAACCAGCTCCAAAGATAGAAACATATAAAAATCCTATACCAATCCATTCAGCGATATGCAACATTGCACCAAGTATGAGCCCAGAGTACCTGCTCCATAAAAGTAACCTGGCCCTGTACACAAATATGATGTCATCAAAACGTTATCAGTGAAGTGCCCGGGGAACCTGTGAGACCCCAGAGAAGACAAAGACTCTGAACAACGAAGCTGCTGATGGGATGACTTACCAAGTGCTGAGAAATACAGGCCTGCCAGGTCAAGGCAGCTGCACCCACTCTCACTCTGGTGTGAGAGGCTGTCCTGAGAACGTACACAGTGCGAGCTGGTTATTAAAACAAACAAACACGACATTGACAAAACAAGAAAGCACTTTGACAGCCCTTTGTTCCCTAATAAGATGGTGACTCACAGAGGTCCCAGCCATGTGTTACCAATATGATGGGACCAGACTCCGTCTTTTGAAAGAACCTCCAATTGCTTATTAGCTGAGAACCTATCGGACTGTCATGCCCGCACAGGTTTCTTTATTTTCTTCACGTACATTCCTTACTCATCCACACATGCTCGCCCATCACCCTGTGCCTGTTGAACCGTCACACCTGGTTCTTGTTCTGTGTTCACACAACCAGAATCTGTATTTATTCCAGACAAGCTGGGCACAAATCACTCAGCACAGACGATGAACCTCCTCTTTACCAACAGTGTAACGAAATTATCTAGATACCCTTCGAGAACTCTCCATGCCTGTACCCATCCTGAGTACCCATGACAGAAAGATTGTTACTCAGAAACACCTACATCACGTAGGTGATGTTTATATCATCTTACAGCAGTTCCACTATTTCAGTTCAGAACTTTAATTCACTTGGAGATAGTTTTGGGGCAAGGTAAGAGATACATTTTGTGCGTGCGTGTGTGTGTGTGTGTGTGTGTGTGTGTGTGTGTGTGTGTGTGTGTGAACCAGAAGTCTTTTTTGGGTATCTTCCTCAAAACCTATCATCATCATAATCACCATCATCATTATTCTGTTGCTACAGGGTCTCCCACTGAACCTACTGTAAGCCAACTTGGCTAGGCTGGCCAGCCATCAGACTCCAGGAATTCTTTCTTCTCTGCATCCCCAGGGCGGTGGCTTTGGCATGGTGTTGAGGATCAGAACTCAGGACCGCTGAATGTGGCAAGCACTTCACCCACTAACCCAACTTCACCATTCCCAGCACTTTTTCTTCTTGAATGGAACTAATGGATATCATTACAGCAGGCTTGACTCATACCCCTCTGTACTGTTTATATAAAAGATACTTAGCCTATCTTTCATTGATGAGAAATTAAACTTCTCCGACATGACGTGGGCCTTTTGTAAAGAGTGCTACAGTAAAAACTCTGTATATTGTTATAAAACTGGATACTATTTTCTAGTGTAAACTCTTAGAAGTGAATTTTCTGGCCGTGATAGCATGTACAACTTGTGTTTAACATCCTGACACACTTTCTGCCAATGTCCACATAATGGTTTACACTCTGCTCACAGGAGGGGCCAATGCTTGGGGCCCTGCTTTGTCCCCAAACAGACATCATTACATTCTTCAGTCTTTGCTGACCCTAGAGAGGAACTATCAGCCCAGACTAGATTTTATTCATTTCCTTTTGAGTGAGAGCAAGCATTTCAATTTGGGTTTATAGGGTTTTTTTATGTACTTTTAAACTAGCTGCTGATGGCTTTTACCTTGCCAGTCTTTGACTTTATTGATTTATGCTACTTAACATTTGTGTTATATGGGTGCATTGTCATTTTAAATATTTTTCTTTCCAAAACTGAACTTATAATACTAATGAACAACACATTTTTGTGTCAATATTTGTTTTCAGTGAGGCAGAAGTACACTGTCTTTGCTATGACTTCTGCATGTGTGAGATGGGCTAATCTTCCCAGGAATTCTTCACAGTGCTTCCTGAGGCTCTGAATGTCAATATGTCATTCTTACATTTTTTTCAACAGCTGATGTGGAGATTTTAGTAGTTTATTATAAAAATGTTCAATTATGCAAAAGCTTTACACTTCTATGTTGAATACTCATATGCCCATAGCCAGAATTATATGATTAAGATTTCGGCTACTCTCTATTTTCTCTCATATGTTCTGTCTACAGATTTTGAGACAGACAGTGAAAGTTCACTTTAAGATTTCAGTTTTATAGATATTTTACTTCTAATTTTCCATTTGATTTGTTTTGGGTGGTTCTGTTTGATTATTTATTATTTTTATGTCTTGCCTGCATATATGCCTGTGTGTTACATGCAAGTAGTGCCCCACAAAGACCAGAATAGGACATTGGATGCCCTGGAATTAGAGTGACAGATGGTTATGAGCCACCATGTGGGTGCTGGTAATTGAACCCTGGTCCTCTAGAATAACAGTCCCATGTTTCATGTTTCATCACTGCTGTTTGTTTCCCTCATTTGATGAGAGCCTTCTTAAAAGAATTAGTATCTAGATTTAGGAGGTTTACAAAATATAATTTCCGTTCTCTCCAAATATAAATGTTAAACTTGAAATTTTCTTTCCAAACATGCTCGCGTTTCCTAGTAAATAATAATCTCCTTTCTCATAAAGGGACAAATTACTGTATTTCAAACTAACTTTCTTTGTGTTTGCTAATTTATCCATTTTGTAACTGGGCACAGAAGTCTTTCAAGCTATTTTTAAAAGTCACTCCATTGTTTACTGTGGGTTTACTAACTGGATTATATGGTCATTCTTGGATTCTTCTTCTCTTCCTGGCCTACATTCGCCATCAGAATATTTTTGCCCAGTATTTCTCTGTGAGGTTGAGGATGCCATCAGGACATTAATCTATGTGGACATGAGGCAAGGTAACTTCCTCACCACAGAACATTATACTCAAGTTTCTTCAAAAACTGTGCCCTGATTGGTCTAAATTCAGCCAGTCTCTTTTTGTCTTTCACAGCTAGGATTTTACACAGAGAGATCCTGTTCATGTGAAGATTACCCCCCCTCTTTTTAATTAAAACAACACTTTGAAGGTTATTCTTCAATTCTGTCTCTTGGGTATAGAAACCCAAGTTACACGGACCTCCTCTCCTGTGGTTTTCATATTTATCAATCAATATGTTGTAAATCCACAGTTTTCTTTTACATTTTTGGGTACATTTAGTTACTTCTTTCTTGGTATGTTTGGGGGTGGGTGATATGTGTGCCACAGCCATGTGTGGAGGTTTAGAGACAAGTAGTGGGAGTTGGTTCTTTCCTTTGACTATGTGGGTTCTAGAGACTGAACTCAGGTCATCAAATGTGGCAGCAAGCGCTGAGCCATTTTTTAGGTCTTTCCACACTTATTATATATATATATATATATATATATATATACATAAAAGTGGAAACACTGATCCACATCTCTTCCTCAAATATCAGCAATTTTTTTTTCTTTAGTCTTACGTGAGGATAGTTTTGGCACTGGTTAATTTTCCCTAGGCTTTCTTCACTTTGACTTTCTCCTGTAAGAGTATTTATTGCAGCCAGTACCGAAGATACCTGATAAACTAGGGTCAGTCAGATGGAAGGGGAAGAGGACCTCCCCTAGCAGTGGACTTGGAAAGGGACAGGGAGGAGATGAGGGAGGGAGGGTGGTATTGGGATGGAAGGATAGAGGGGGCTACGGCTGGGGTACAAAACAAATAACCTGTGATGAATATTAAAAAAATAAAAATTAAAAAAAAAAGAGTACTTATTTCTTCATTAGTCATGAGCCATTCCTGAGTCTCCTTAAAGGACAAAGAGATTACATAAGACCTTTTCTTTTCATTATGGAGAGTTTTTGTTGTTGCTGTTTCTTTCTTTCTTCTCTTTTCTGAGTATTTCTAAACATTGTAATTCCACTCCAAATACATTGTCTGTGTTTTGTTATGCTCTAATCTTTTTGCACTTTAATAGTTCATGGAAATATTTTTATATTGTTTATTATTACTTCTCCCTGAAATGAGGTAATTTTATCAGACATGCTCTTGCTGAAGAAGAGGCTAGAGAAACAGAGGAGGGACATTGCGTGGTTTGCTGCTCTTTTCTCACAGCTGGCTTCACCTACCAGTCCTAGCATTACCTTTAGGATTTCTGCCTCTGTTTATAATACATTTGCAAGGCAGAGATCATTTCTTTTTTAATCGAATTTTATTCCCAAGTGTTAAGATGTTCTTGTCATTGCACTTTAAATAAATTGCTCCTCTTCCTGAAGAATTTTATGTGAACTAAACACAAGTAAAGTCATCTGAGAGGAGGGAATCTCAAAAAGAAAATTCCTATGTAAGATCAGCTGTCTGCAAGCTTGTAGGACACTTTCTCAATTAATGATTGATAGGAAGAACCCAACTCAATTATGGGTGGTGGCATTACTGGGCTGATGGTCCTGGGTTCTACAAGAAAGCAGGCTGAGAGAACCAGTAAACATCATCCCTCCATGGCCTTTACATCAGCTCCTACCTCCAGGTGCCTTCCTGGTAGGAGTTTCTGTGCTCACTGCTTTTGTTGATGAACCATTATACGAAATCATGAGTAAAATAAAACCTACACATCTTGGAATTGGTGGCAATAGAAACCCTGACTAAGACTTTCCTACTAGTAGTTCAGCTTCCAAACCTCATTTCTGGATTGCAAACCCACCATATTGCGATTAACAGTTAGCTGGTTCACCATCCAGCACTTTCCTTGTTGTCTTTCACACTTGACATGTGTGGCCCCATCGCTATGTTTATTTCCTTGTACAACCACAAAGCTCTGAAAATTACAATGTGAGCACATTACAATATGAGCACAGACACAACAGGTTTAGGTCTAAATCAGTATTAAAAGAAAAAAGCCTGTGAACAGATCTATCAACTTGATGCCCATGAGCATCCCTGAATACAAACTAATATTAAATTATGCTGCCATTCTATTTGCAACTTTTACATATTTTAAACTATTGTTTTATCAGTAGTAACTGGAACACATTTTTTGTTGCCTGTATTCAGTTGAGCATTAGTTCTTTTTTGTAAATGCCTAAGAAATGTTTCATGCACATCTCAATTATTGGTTGTGGATATTAGTAATAAATGTCTCTCTTTTTATTTTTATTTTATTTGTGCATGTTTTAATTAAACTTCTTCATTCCTTTTGTTTGATGGTTGATGGTTGTTTTAGGTTGATTGTTCCTTTTAATGGTTTCATTTTATTTTATTTTTTTTCAAGACAAGGTCTAACTATTTGGCCTTGCTGTCCTAGAGCTCACTATATATAAGACAGGCTGGCCTGTAACTCACAGAGATCCACCTGCTTCTGCCTCCTGAGTGCTGAGATTAAAAGACTGAATCATTATGTTTGGCTCTTTTGCTTTTGTCTTTATAAGTGAAGTTTATATGTTACCTCTTTGTAAGTGGTACTGTCTCCTCTTCCTTATTTTCTTTCACTGTTTTTGTTTATTTCAAGGTGTAATTAGTAATTTAGCCATTAGTCTATTACTAATTAGCCATTAGTAATTTAATAATATTTTGAAAATAACATGTGAAATGTTAAGTTTCAACATTCCAAATGAATTACAAATACAAATTAAATGTCTCATTTTAGGGGTACCTTTTTATGAGCTAGTCAGGGATGTCACAGAAGCCCCTCAAACAATAAAACAATTATCATGTCCCTTGGCTTCCCATAATAAATAGATGCGTTCCTATTGCTGAAAATACACACTGGTAATGTAATATAGAACAATGAAGCTGAGACTTTTCTGAAATCTTCTTCCCAGCTGAGTAGTTTCATGGTGTCAGAAATGTGATATATGCTTCTGTTGAATAGGTCTTACCTATCCAAAGTCTTACCCAGTTGGGAACCTTGTGATCTATGAGACCATTTTGCCAGGAAATATGTGATAAGGTGTTTTCAAGTGTGCAATAATGGCATGACTCTTACATGGTAACCACTCATATTCTGATTGGATTCAAGACCCATTTCACATAAGGGAGTACATACCGGGTACTGTAAACCTTTTCAAATCCCATGGAGGGGGAAGTCAGAAATTCTAAAGAAGAACATATTCTGCTGATTAGCTGAATTGATACAACACTGAACTTCTTTCTAAATGTGTATGTGTATACCTATAGACAATTACCATTCTCAGCCTTCACCAGATAAGCCTCTCTTACCAGTGAATGCAAAGACTTAAGGCTGCATGAGTGCTGAATAGGTGTCAGATGAGTGAGTGTTCAGGCTCAAACAAGATATCTATGCCATTACCTCCATGGCTCAGAAGACATTGTTGAGCAGGGGGCAGAGAGATCCAGGAGCCAGAAGATAGGAAGAAATGCTGAGAAATACCACCTTGTGAGCATGACATAGCCATTAAATTCACAAAATCTGAAGCTTCAGCTTGGTGCACTGGGTTTGTATAAGAATGGACCCTTAGAAAATACTATGTTAAGAATGACAAAAGTGAACTTGAGATTAAAAAAAAAAAGTAAAAGAAACACAGGATAGTGAATTGGATTGCATTCCACAAATCACATTTCCTTCTGTCTCTGCCTTCCACACACAGATTGGTTCAGAAATTCGAAGGCAGACAGAAGTGATGGAGACAGAATTGAAGGTATAGAGCAATAGAAAACATTCATTTTACAGTTATTGAGGGTAAGGAAGAAGAGAAACACATATTACAGTTGTTTGAGACTAATGTGTATGCACAAGTTCTAAGAGTCTCACATAGGACACTCATTCCATTTTCTATGATTTCCATAATTGTCTTTAGATTTGAACTATTTTCTGCTTATAATACAATTGATGTCTGCTGTGTTCTCTCATCACAAACAGACATGGCTTTCCTATCCAAAACAGGCCATATAATCAGTCACAAAGCAAGTCTCAATCAATACAAGAAAAATGAAATAACCCCTTGTTTTTTTAACAGACCACCATAGATTAAAGCTGGACTTCAAAAACAGCAGAAACAACAGAATACCTACACATTCATGGAAACAGAAAAATTCTCTATTCAATGACCACTGGGCCAGAGAGGAAATAAAGAATTTGAAGGCTTCCTAAAATTCACTGAAAAGTGAGCCACAACATACCCAAACTTATGGAACACAATAAAAGCAGTGCTAAGAAGAAAGTTCATAGCACTAAGTGTATCCATAAAGAAATTGGAAAGCTCTTACACGATCAACTTAACCACACTCATGAAAACTCTAGAACCAAAGAAGCAAATATACCAAAGAGGAGTAGACAGCAGGAAATAAGCAAACTCAGTGCTGAAATCAAGAAATTAGAAACAAAGAGAACACTGCAAAGAATCAACAAAACCAAGATCTGTTTTTTTTTTTGAGAAATTCAACAAGATATACAAACCCTTAGACAAACTGACTAAAAGTCAAAGCTACAATATCCAAATTAACAAAATCAGAATGAAAAGGGGGACATTCCAATAGACACTGAGTAAATCCAAAGAATCATTAGGTATTACTTGAAAAGCCTATCCTCCACAAAATTGGAAAGTCTAAATGAAATGGAAGATTTTCTTGATAGATTCCACTTGACAACATTGAGTCACGTTTTGGCAATTTAAATATCCTATAACCATTAAGGAAATAGAAGAAGTCATTAAAATCTCCCAACCTGAAAAAAAAAAACAACAACAAAAAATAAACAAACAACAATCCAAACCAAAACAAACAAACAACAACAACAAAACACTGGGCCAGATATTATAGCTCCTACCTCATCTCCTCCCATTCCCACTCTCCCTCTAACTTTCTCCCTTATCCCTCTCCCCTTGTCCACTGATAGGGGAGGAGGGCCTCCCCTATTATCAGTTCTCATCAGGACTGTCTGGATCCTCTTTCTCTGTGGCTTAGTAAGGCCACCCCATCAAGAGGAAGTGATCAAAAAGCAGGCAACCAAATTCAGGCCAGAGACTGCCCTGCTCCCTTTACTAGGGAACCCTCATGGACACTGAGCTGCCCATTGGATACAACTGAACAGGGAGTCTGTATGGTCTGTGGTTGATTCATTAGTCTCTGAAGGATGCTCTGGGCCCAGAATTTTTGATTTTGTTTGTCCCCTTGTAGAGCTCCTATCTCCTCCATGTCTTTTTATCTCCCCCTTCTTTCATAAGATTCCCTGTACTTTGCCTAAAGTTTGACTACAAATATCAGCATCTGCTTCTATACGCTGCTGGATAGATTCTTTCAGAGACCCCTGTCTTGTTCCCTGTCTTCTCCCACTGAAGACAAATGGGCAGAGGAAACAACACCTTTCACAATAGCCACAAAAAACCCATAAAGTACATTGGTGTGACTCTAACCAAGCAAGTGAAAGACTTATATGAAAAAAAAGTCAAATATCTGAAGAAAGAAATTGAAGATCTCAGAAGCTGACAGATCTTCCATTCTAAGTAGGATTAATATAGTGAAAATGGCCATCCTAACAAAAGCAATCTACAGGTTCAATACAATTCCCATCAAAATACCAACACAATTTTTTACAGACCTTGAAAGAAAAATTCTGTTTCACATGGAAAAACAAACAAACAAACAAACAAACAAACAAACAAAAAACTCAGAACAGCTAAAATAACCCTGTACAATAAAAGATCTTCTGGAGGTAGCTCCATCCTTCATCTCAAGCTGTATTATAGAGCAATAGTAATAAAAATGGCATGGTGCTGGTATAGAAACAGACTGGTGAATCAATGGAATCAAATTGAAGACCCAGAAATAAATTCGCTCACCTATGGATATTTAATTTTTGACTAAGAAGACCAAACCATACACTGGAAAAAAAATAGTATCTTCAACAAATGGTGCTGTTCTGACTGGATGTCTACTCTTACATA